TGGTCTGGTGTCTGCCTTGTTGAGTTCCACAAAGTTATGTCTGGGGATCAATCTCTAAGCACCCAGTCCTTCCCAGAGTCCTCATTTGCCCCACCTTGTGCATTACACTCCTGACTCCTTTGTTTCACAGTAATAATGTACTTACCTCTCACTTAGAAGCTCTTCTAAGCAGTTTATATACATAAAGTCCCTGATTCACATGATAACTTGATATAATAGACAAAAACATAATTCCCATTTTACAGGTAAGAAAACTGAGGCAGAAAAGTGAAGCTCTGTGAAAGTTTCTATGGAAGTCATGCTTCCATCCACCACTGTCTGCCACCTTCATTGTCTTTCTGCTTCTTGCCCACCTCTGACCACTCTGTACGTGGCCATGCCAGGCAGTGCAGCTCTACACTGAGAGACCAGCCGTGCAAGACAGTCAGGGTGGCCTGTGGGCCTGAGTAAAAGTCAGTTTGACATTGCTCCAGCAAACATCCAAGCATAGCAAGGCGTCCTTCACCACTGGCAGAGGTCTAAGATCCTCCTGCTCAGAAAACAGAGGGAAAAGAAAGCCAGGATATCACCTGTCTGTCACCTGTACTGTCATGCTGCCACATCACCCACACCATGGGGTTATTTCCAGGGACACAAAGCTAGCCTCTTCCTAAAATACTGTCAGTGTCACCAGACAGTGACACCACAATCTCAAGAACCTCCAGACACTCTGCCCTTAGGGAACGAAAGCCAAGCACAAGAGCACTCATCCATTCTAGGAAGTCTCTGGAACAGCCACATTTAGAGAGGCAGAGAGCAGACTGAAGGCTGAGAGAAAATGGGAACTGATACATAGAATCTCTCTGTGAAGAGACGGCAGCCCACGTGACACACTCTAGAATGAACGGGGAAGGGAGTCTTGATGCAGAGCTGTCTAGATTGTCTGTGAACATGCCTGAGAGGGAACTGCGTTCACCGAGTTTGGAAACCTCAGCCTAAATGTGAACAGCATCAAACTGCAAGGACTCTGGACCGAATGAAAAGGAGAGAGACAGAGAGACAGAGAGACAGAGAGACAGAGAGAGTGGGAGCCTGATTTAATCATTGCTGTCTGCTCTTGAATGTGGATATGACCAGCTAGCTCTTTGAAGTTCGTAATGGTGTGACTTCCCTGCCAAGGGGGACAGTAATCTCAGTCTGTGAGATTCTGAGCTAAATAAACCCTTTCCTCATTAAGTTGCTCTGTTGGGGTATGTTCTCACAACAGTGGTCAAGAAAGCTAAGACAGAGTGCTAAGGGTACTCCTCAGCTGTGGAGCTGGCAGCACACACATTGGAAGTCAACAATGAAAAGGAGGCTGTGAATTTGAAGGAAAGCAAGGAGGGAGAAAGCTATGAGAGGGCTTGGAGGGAGGACAGGGAAGGAAGATATGGGATGATTCCATCATAAATTTACAAAGCAGAAGAAATCATCTTCTTCATCATCTTCTTCTTCATCATCATCATCAACATCAACATCAGGAGCAGAGGTGGCAGCACTGGTTTTCTTCGCTTCAACTGAGAGCTGAGAAACCATCTCAGGCAGTGGTACCGGCTCGCTATGCCAGTGACAGGGACAGAAGCCCAAGCAAACAAAAAGCACCTGGAGAAGCTCTGCCTGCAGGAAAGCAAGGCTATGGATTAAGATGAACCTCCATCCTGAGATGCAAAGTGGAGCTCCAGGTGAAGTCTCACGATTGCTGTACCTGCCCTGAAGTCAGCAGATGACAGGCAGGACAGATGGCCGGGACAACCTGTCCTCTGACCTAACAGCTCCCTCCCTCCCTCCCTCCCTCCTTCCCTCCCTCCCTCCTTCCCTCCCTCCCTCCCTCCTTCCCTCCCTCCCTTGGTTCTTCCCCTCTACTCCGGTTCTCTTCTCCTCCCCCTCTTCCTCTGTTCATGGCCAACCTGCCTGATGACACCAACACACACACACACACACACACACACACACACACACTTTCAGTGTGTCACTGTGAATAGCTTCCTTCCAAGCACGGACCTTTGTGTTTCCTGCCTTCGTCTTTGCAGCTTGTTCTATGACCACCCCCTAGACCAGCCTTGCATAAGGCAGCTCACATGTGTCCGCTTTCTTCCAGTCCACTAGGATCACTAGTACTCTCAGTCCCCATGTAGCCTATTTCCATGGCCAGCTTGTGGTAGCACACTGGGCAGAGCTCTCGAAAAATTCAAGTTTAGATATGCCTTATTTAAAAACAAAAACTGAAAATCTGAATTGTAGAATAAATTCAGGGGTGATTCCCCCATACATGAAACAGCTCTGATGGGGCTGTGATGAGTCTGGCACCCCAAACACACTCAATAAGTACACTTGTAACCATCAGTGCTTCCAGAATTTGTGTTCAAAGGACTTCTGATCTTAAGACAAACAAGAAACAAAGGGGAGAAAAACAACAAAAACAAAACAAAAAACCCTCCCAGCCTCATCCATTCTGAGCAGGCTAGCAATGAAGAAAATCAGGAAGTGGTGATTAACTGGTAAGAAACCTGCTCACTGGCTGCTCAGGGGGCAGGCACAGGTGCCGAGGCTACGGGCATCTAGAGGAACTCCTCCCTAAATCAGCAAAGATGGAGTTAGACCAATAGTGCAACATTGCTACCAACTATTTAAGTGGATCAGTATTTTTTTTTATTGCAAAGAAAATAATTCATCCCTCACAGGAAGTAGAATGGAATATATTTCATGCTCAAAGAGGTACCTTGCAGATCAAACCAGGCCTTACAGCTTCCCATAGAAAACCTCAGTGCCTGGGGTTTCAGGAGGGAGGGTCTTCATCAATGAGTCTCAGGACACTGCCCTACCCACCCCCAATACAGACAGGACTGAGACTCTGCCACAAACCAGTCTATCCAGCTAAGAGTCCAAAGGAAACTTCAGTCCCTGCTGGGCCAAGGTACTTCCTCTTGGCACCTTGGTCATGGTAACCAACTTTTTGCTCCCAAACTTTCTGCAGGAAGGGCCAGCTCATGGTCATCTTCCTGCTCCTCCCCATGAGGTAACTGTGATTCTTATCTAACTAGAGCTCAGAAAGCTGAAAGAGACGGAAGTGGGCAGTACAAGCCATGTCTTCCAGGCCAATGCTTTGCCCAGCGCATGTGCACCCCTGGAATGGGGACATCACTATGGGGCAACTTCCAAAGGATCCACACATCCTAAGTGCTGTTCTCCCAGGTGTCCCGTGGGATCCCAGAGAACCCATGCCAATTCCCCCATCCTCTGTGGTGTCATATACCCCCCCAAGACCCCACCCTGGCCTTTACAGGTTCCTAAACTAGCTACTCAACATTCTCTGAGGTCCTGGCCTCCCCTGGACTCTCTGAGCATCTGGACATCATGAGCCCTCCCGCTCATCCTCCTCCTGGTTACCATTTCTTAAGAGTTTGTAGTTTACTCTGTGCTGGCCTCCATCTGCCTAGTCTAGTTCATCGGTACAGGCTGTCTGAAAGATATGGAGTGCGTCCACAGGAAACCTTGGTCTGTGCTCTTGTCCTGCTTCTCCCTCTGGATTCCCACCTTGGGAAATAACAGGGCCAGTCAGAGAAAAGAGGAGGGAAGAATGGAGGGAGGGAATAAAGGAAGTGAAGGAAGAGGAAGGGAAAAAGAGGAAAGAGAGCTACAGGGAGGAAGCAAGAAAGGAGGAAAAGGATGGTAAGGGAGAGAGATAGGAAATGAGGGAAGAGAAGAAGCAGAAGTCAGGAGGGAGGGGGAGGCTGAAGAGCTGAAGGGAAAAGAGACAGAGGAGAGAGGAGGTGGGTGAAGGAGCAAGGATGCTTACTCTTGGGAAAGGGTTAAAGTGTCAGCATCCTAGGCTAACAGTACCAGCCCTGTCTATGTGACGTTGATCCCCCAGCCGCCATTCATAATCCACAAACCCACAAGATCCTTCAAACCTCCATTTTCAGAAATTTAGGCAGTTTGTGGTCATGTACAATTTTCTTGGAGGAAAAAATAAACTGATCCCTGAATGTTTCTATTCAAGGCAAGAGGGTGGTTCTTATGGCAAGGGTTATTCTTATGGCAAGGGCAATTCTGATGCAAGGGCGCTGGGGTCACGCCTTTGAATCCTTGTCTCATGGCTCCCTCTGGTTCAATCCGGCCTGAGATCCCCCTCTGCAGAGGCTCGGACTGGAGCTGGGGTCGTAGAGAACCAAAAAATAAGCCTGAGGTCAACTGTGCATAAATTGGGAAGCAGCCTCTGAGGGAAATTACAGTCTAAGATGAGAAAGTGGGAGGAGGCACCTTTGCCCTGGATCCCGTCTGCTCCCTTTGCCCTGGATCTCAGCCCTCTCCCTTTGCCCTCGTGTCTCTGGCCCCCTTTGACCCATTTGGGTCTGTTTTCAATATGAGCAGCCCCTCTAGCATGCAGTGAGGACAATCCTCAAGACCATGCCCTCAGGACTTCCCTCATCCTCTCAGCACCTCCTCCAAGCCAAGCCTGTGTGGCTCTAGGACCAAGCATCACAGGCTCCCCCACAATGGGGTGAAAAGACAGCTAGCTGCCTGGAGTTCAGGTCACAGCAAGGGTGGGGGTGTGGGCAGAAACACGGAATGGAGCAGTAGCATACGCATCAGACTCAGGGAGGCCTTAGCTCAGGCATGGAAAGCAGGACAGAAGGAAGGGTGGAATAGCATTCCAAGAGGAGGAACAGAATATGCAAAGACCTTGGGGCTTTCAATACTGACTGGAACTGAGAGTCTTTGACAGCCTACAGCTCAGGATGAGGGCTCAAAGGGAAAGAGTTTGTCTGAGGCAAGATCATAGACGCCTTGAGCCTCAAGAGGGAGAGAGTGACCTGCAAGTCCAAGCCTGAAACATTATAACAAACTTAAAGCAGGGAGACCGTCTAACAGAGCCTAAGGCAGACAAGGGAAACTCGAGAGGAGGGCGAGAAAAGAGATGCGGCAGAGAGCTAAAGTTGGCTCTCAAGGAAAGGCGTGGAGGACGGCCGGGCTGCACTCACCGCGGAGCCAGCGCGCACCCGCGTGCGTGTCCTTGGGGCGGATGAGGCGGCGCTGCATGTAGCTGCGACCCACGTACCACAGCATCCAGAGCAGCTGCAGCAGCATGAGCGCGGTTAGGACGCACAGCAGGTCGCTCTTGCCCACACCCGTCGCGTGCACCGCCCAGGCCAGCAGGAACAGCAGCCCCGCTACGAACACGTTCAGTCCATACTGGCTGCTCAGAATCTCCGCCAGCTTCTGCGGGACGCTGGCGCCGCGCCGGGGACCGGAAGCTTGTGGAGACCCCCGGGCTAGGGAAGGCAGGGGCGGAGGGCATTCCGTGATCCCCGACGGCGCCGCATGCAGGGAGCCTGAGGATGCTGAGGGAGAAGAGGACGCGCCCGGGCCCCCAGGCATCTTCCAGTCTGGTCCCCAGGCGGCTGCTCCCGCCCCTCACTTTCCTCCTGGCTCCAGTCCTTTCCCCACGCCCTCTGGGCACCAGCCCGGCTCGCCAGTGCCCTCAGATCCCGCTCTCCTCCAGTACTCCCGGCCCTCAGTCAGATCCCAGTCGCTGGCCTCCCTCTCGGAGCTCCTGATGCCGGCTCAGGTGCCTGCAGCCCGTTGCCCCCGCCACTTCTTGTCGAGCCCTGTTGCACCTCTGCCTTGCCTGTGCCACCAGCACCCCACCCCCGCGCCCAGCCCGCCTACCCCACCCCGGCTCCCCGGAAACGCGGGACTGCAACAGGTGCCGCCCGTCGGCTCCGCGGCTGGCGGGGAGGGGTGGGATACCAGGGGACACAAGGAGTCGTGGGAGCCAGATCAGAGGGTTGCTGAGGGCGTGGTCGCGCCAGGGTTGTGTCCCCGACCCCTAGACTTTTGGGTGGGCCCGCAGGGGTCGAGCGTATATGGATCCTTCTCATCTGTGTGTCCTAGTCCCTGAGGTTTTCTACTGGGTGCTTTTTGTCTCTCCGTCCTCGACCTGTGTCTGGCTCAGGGTAAAAAGCAGGGGACAGGCATCTTTGGGGGTCTCTTCGTTTGTCCCTTGTGGGTGCCTGTGTGGGGACCTGAGCGAGAGCCTCGACAATAGCTAAAACTGGTGCCACTACACAAGAAGTCATCCCTCCATATCCTCTTCTGGAGATGCTTCCAGAGGAAGCTGAGCAGGGAAAGGGGTGGTCCGGACTCTCAGGAGTCCAATTGCTTCCATTCCAAAGCTTTTCCCTGAGGCAGTTCCCTAGGCCCTCCGCTCCCGTGCCAAAAGGAAGCGCGGCGGATTTCTGCGAAAGAGCGTCCTATGGTTGACCATGACCTAGAGGAGAGCCTGGGGCCCATCAGTGTGGTGTGAGAGGGCAATGGGGGAGCAATCGGGACATCGGGCTCAGAGAGGGCAACACGGGGCAGAGCACAGGCCGAGATGTCCGCTCCGCCTTGGTTTTAACGCTCTGCTGTAGTCGATTTCAATTTCTTCATATTTTAACAAGGAAACCTAGGGTTTTTATTTGCAGGACACCCTGCACACGGACAGGGCAACAGCTGGTGATGACTGCTAAAGGGAGTGGGGGGTGGGGGATGAAAGAGGACAAGAAGCCTTGGGCCCAAGTAGCTCTGGAGACTTGCCTCGCCTTCATCATTAAATTCATTTGTTTATTCTTTCCATTTATATATAGGTAATCCACACTGAGATATTTTCTGCACTTAACTCTGAGGACTCAGTAAGGCCAGGGCAGTCCTGGAAGCCAATGGTTAGATGAGATCTTACAGCAGATAGCTATTTCCTCGGTGCCCAGAGGAAACTAACATGCGACCCTAAGGCAACCCAGCCTTCCAGGAGACACAGGCGCCCCAGGAGGCCCCCTGCCAGGAAGGCTGAGAGGGTCTCAGGAGGAGGCAGCATCTGTGTGCCTAGAATAGCTATCCTGTGGGAAGCTGGAGGCAGGTGTGGAGAGGGGCTTCCATTGTATGCAAAGAATGATTGTAGTGACACCAGCGGGATGCCTCCCCAGGTAAAGACACTTGACACCAATCCTGACAATCTAAGTTGGATGCCCAGCCCCCAAATGGACGAAGGAGAGGGCAAATTCCTACAGGTTTTCCTCTGACCTCCATAGGTCCACAGTGATATGCACACACACTCAATAAATAACTAAATAAATAATTGTAACTTCAAAAGCCCACAAACGTTATCCTAGTCAGCCCCAAACCTATGCCACTCTACAGATTCCAACGAGCCTTTGATTGCCTAGGGACTGGATCTCAGAAGAACCCACTCCTCTCCCCCCACCCCACCCCCATCCTGCAAATGTATCCTGTCACTTTTCCTGTATGCCTTTCCCAGCATCGTGGCATGGTAGCTGGTCACTGGCAAAGTGAAAATGTGGTTCTTTCCTTCTGAAATGATGCTCAAAGGATCTAAGAGTTCTGAGGCTGCTGTAAAGAGTCCCTGTTCACCTTCCATAGTTTCCTGATCTCTAAACTCTAAAATGGGCTCTGAGCTAATACCATGGTCACGTGGGTGTGTACCGAGTCGGGGATGCACAAACATATGCATATGTGTAGAGGCCAGAAGACAACCTTAGGTGTCACTTGTCCAGCACGGTTCCTGCTCCCTATTCTGCCTCAACTTGTCACCTAGGCTAGGATTAGTATCGAGTAAGCCCTAGGGATCTGCTCATCTCTGCCTCTTCAGTTCCGGGTTACAAGTGTGTGCCATCATGCTGACTTTTTTTTTTTTAATGTATATTCTGAGGACTGAGCTTAGGTTTAGGTCTTCATACTTATGAGGCGAGCATTTCACTGACTACAGTCCTTCCAAGGTCATGTCTCCTTCATTAATGTGTGTGAGATCTCATGATAATGAGACCCCCATACGTAGACAGATGAGGATGTCAGCAACAGCCTGATGGGAAGTCCTGTGTCCAGCCCAGGGGGGAAAATCCCCACTCCCTCCATACGAGACCCCAACACAGCCCTACCTCTCCCAGGCAGATTCCCAGAGTAAGGTGCCCAGTGGGCTGCTTACTGCTCAGCTCACTGTAGCCTTCTGGGTATCAGTTCCCTAAACCACCCAACACTGTGGGTTCCTGCTGCTCAGTTCTTTTGAGGTGCAAGTTTTTATACAGTATCCATTTGGAGATCTACCTCAGCCCTCTTGCCCATGTCTTGGTCTTCAGATAGTTCATCTTTCTAAGTCGCTGATCATCGCTGAGCCTCCCAGAACCCACCCATGGCCCTGGGCAGGTTTCTGCTCTTTATAGATCTTTCTTCAGACGAGACAGACCATAGGACATACCAGTCAATCATTCTGCTCATAGGAAGAGGTTTTATTGACTACTGTCCAGCAGGATTGGCACTAGGTGGGACTGTAAGACTGTAGTTGTCCACCTTTGGTTGGTACCATCTTGCCATGCAGAAGCACCTGTAAATATAGCCTGAGTTGCTTCTCCTCTCATGAGACAGTGTCATGTTACTATAGATGTGGATTAAAGAATTGAGGCCATGAGGCAGGTGTCAGTCTGGAGGGGATGAGGACCAGCTGCAGGTCCATTTGTTCTGTGTCTTACATGCCACATCTGCTTGACAACAGACACCACTGTGTATATGCAACCTTGTGGTTGGCTAGATCAGATAATATCCAGCTCATAATGGAAACTGTGGTCCTGTGGTCACATAATTCTCAGAAATAGGAGAGAAGTTGTCTGATGGAAAATAACTTATCTGTAAAAGGCCATTTTCACTCTACAACCCTTTAGATCTGCACCGTGATTCTCCTGCTGGCTTCTGCCAGACCATATCCAGCCCCGTCTGCCTAAGCTACTTCATGTGTCCTTGGCTTTGTTAGACTGTAAGACCCAAGTCAGAGCAGCTGCAAGTACAGGCTGGTGGACTAGAGAGTCACCATACTGCTGTTACCCAGTCAGAACTGGGATGGGAACTTGTAGGCTCCACCTGCAAGTCAGCCAGTCATACGTGTATTTAAGGATGGTGAAAGCCACAGCCCTTCCCTTTGAATCTGGGAAATCCAAGCTGCCCCATGGAGAGGTCAACAAAGAGTGAACCCCATAGCCAGCACCCACCGCCAACTTCAATGAAGCATCTTGAAAGGGGTTTGTCCAATCTCAGCTGAGTCTTGCTCCTGTGAGGCAGAAACAAGGTGTCCCTGCCAACTCCTGCTCAGATTTCAGATTCCTGAGCAGAATAAATGGTGGCCGTTGTTTCAAGCCACGTACATTAGGGTGTGGTTTGTTATGCAGCAATAGATACCCGGAACATACAGACGAAAGCGGGACTGAGTCCAAAGATCAGATGAGACCTGGGAGGCTTTCTCCGGTGACCCCTGTTGACGGGACACAGGGCTGTGTAAGGAAAGTTCTGATGGTCACAGAGAGATGGTGCGAGTGTTGGGGGCAGTGAAGGATGCTGTGGATACTTGGCTCACGGCATGGTGTTCATGCCTTCCAGGGTATGAGCTGGGAAGGAGAAAGTATTTCATATTCTCTGTGACTCCTTTGTATCGCACACATGAAGACCTCATCCCCTGCACTTCACATGCTGCAGTGAGATTTCTTTTTTACTCTCAAGGTTCTGTGGCTCAAGCTCAGGGTTTTATACATGCTGGGCAAGCAGTCCACCACCGAGCTATGTCCCCAGAGCTTTTTAAAAATTTGAGACAGGATCTCCTATGTAGCCTAGACTGGCCTCAAACTCAAAATCTTTCTGCTTCAGCCTCCCATGTAGTTGATATCACAGGCATCTATCACCATATCCCTTGTAATTTCTTTTCAAGAGAGGAACAGAGATAGAAAATAAATAGGAGATTCTCTGGTGGTTTTGTAGTATAGGGGGATCAAAGAAATAGGCCTCATTGAAGAAACATGAGAAAGTGTAACATGATGTTTATCCGTAGGTGAGACGTCTTACATTTGCACACAGGATTGACTCCATCAATGCCATGAGGCCTGCACTCCAAATAAAGGATGAAAAGACTTGTAAACTGGCTATGGAGGCAAAGGCCTGTAATCCCAGCATTAAGAAAGCTAAGATGCGAAGTTTACAAGCTCAAGGTCAAGCCTGAGCTATGTAGCAAGTTCAGGGCTGGCCTGAACTATACCAGTCTCAAAACTTGAATGAGGAAAGAAAGAAAAACTACAGCTATCCTTAAGGCTCAGAGTGTTTGGAAATGAATCACACTCCCAGGGTAACGGGTGTGTTCCTCAGCTGCCGACCTGCAAGCCTTTTGTGAATTCATGCCCTTTGCGGAATAGCCAATTCTTTACTGTTGGGCTCACCCATCTTCTCAGCCTTCCCTGACCTGGGATGGCTCTGCTGCTCTACTCTAATGCCACTTTCCTGTGTGAACAACAGACGACAGTCTCAGTTCTAAAGTACCTGGAGACAACTGACTATAATATTTAATTCTCTCCACTTTAAGGAATGCT